TGAACCTGTTCAGCCTCCACAAGAGAAGGCTGAGGGGGGATCTTGTGGCCTGTTACAAACTGGTCAGGGGGGATCAGAAGGCATTGGGGGAGTCACTGTTCCCCCGAGCACAGCCAGGAGTGACCAGGAACAACAGTCACAAGCTAGCAGAGGGTAGGCTTAGGTTAGACATCAGAAGGCGCTATTTCACTGTCAGGGCGGCTAGGGTCTGGAACCAACTTCCAAGGGAGGTGGTGCAGGCTCCTACCCTGGGGGTTTTTAAGAAGAGGTTAGGTGAACACCTTGCTAGGGTCATTTGACCCCAGTACTCTTTCCTGCCATGGCAGGGGGTTGGATTAGATAATCTTCTCAGGTCCCTTCCGACCCTAGAAACTACGAAACTATGAAGTACAGCTATCTGACTCCAATTCTGGATCTATCTCCTTTCTTGTACCCCCAGTCCCTAGAAAAACTGAGCATGCAAGCTACCAACTCCTCCTAGTGGCCATGAGGCAGTCATGCCCTCTTTGTGGAATGCTACTACACCTACCTATACTGGCTCAATGGTTTAAGGTACCTTAGCCCTAGTACAGGCCTAGTACAGTGGTTTTCAACCTGTGGCCTGCAGACCCTTGGGGGTCCAAAGACTATGTCCAAGAGATCAACAAACAATAACTATGATCAATCAAAAGTACATGAATACCCACATTTACAATTCCAAGGGGTCTGTACATCCATTCAACATTTTTTAGGGGTCCGCAAATGAAAAAAGGTTGAAAACCATTGCCCTTTCATTCAGAAAGGACAAGACACAGTGGAGAATCTAGTCTGCTGCCTGGAAACACACTCTTTGTAACAAGACTAGACTTTTTATTTTAAGGGACCTCACATTCTGACAAATACTGTTAAATCCACAGATTGGAACTGATCTTTATAATAAACAATACTGTTGTAACAACTTCTGTTGTATAATACTGCAGTACTAAGGTGTCAATGACCCAGCCCGTGGAGCTGTCATCCAGTTTGGAGGGGCCGGAAATTTTGGGGTGTGGCATGTAGAGATGGAGTCCACTACCAGTGTACAGAATCCTATTAGGGATATGTTCCAGTAGCTGTACAGTAAGCAATGGTTACATTAATCCCCACACCTCCCACAGCCAACAGTGACTGGGGCACCCAAAACAGTTAACACAGCCGCTGTCTGCCTTGCCACCAGAGGTGGGTTTGGATCTGGTCTGCTATGCTCCTTGCAGTCTAGATCCAGACCAAAACGAACCACATGGTCTGTATCTGGCCGGGGGGTAGAGGGGGAATGTTAGTGCAAATATACTAATCTAGACAGTGTAATAAAATTTTCTGTCTATAAATGGTTCTTCTAAATTTAACAATTTAGACACAGTTCAGATCTCACCTTTTTATTTAGCTCCTACACAACAATATTGTCCCCAGTACTATCAGAGTATAAACTCTTCTTTAGATTTAAATTTTCTCAACCAAGCTGGAAGTTATGATATAATTTTTTTTTAATTAAGGGCAAGTGTTAGCACTGTAACAATGGCATTCATATAAGGCATTAAGGTCCCATGTTTCAGCAGTCAAAAAAAAAAAAAATCAGAAAATGATAATGTTAAGGATTCACATTCAACCTGAAGTCTAATCCTCTAGTCTGTACCATAACATATACACACAATTACATAGTCGCATAACATTTTTTTCAGAGCTACTTTTCAGTGAAGCTGCCCTCCCAAGAGCAGTGAGCACATATATCTGCATACACAGTCCAGGTCAGCTTGCCTAGACATAACAACACAGACTCATCTCTTAGAACACATGGGAAGGAGCCACTCTCCTTTGCATTGCCACAGCTACAAGAAGCTCAGGGCTATTGAAGGTCTTTAGCTCCTCAGAAGCACAGCATTTATTCTGGCAAAGCTAAGACCCTTCAACAGCCAAGTGAACAACAAAACCTAAAGGAAGAGGCTAATTCAACGGTTCATGAGGGCTTGCAAGACACAGCAGTAAGTGAGGCATACAGATATAGCTGAGCTTATAAATCTACAGGAGGCTTTCTTTAGATGCCTCATGTGAACATCTGTACAGGACCTCTTACTCAAGTCCCATTTCTCCTTACCAACTCACAGCAATTTAAGGGGCTCACTGTGAAGCCAAATTATCAAAACACAACTGAGCAATTTGTCCTTTAAACTAATATTTAACAAGCTAGGCATATAGTTTTACATTTGGTCATACAGAAACCAATTTGTTCCAGAACAAGGTTGAGCACTGCTTCAGTGAAGATTACTGCTTCCCCATATTTAACTTTTTTTGCTTTAAAAAAAAAAAAAACCTTGCACTTTTCTTCCTCATACTTTGGAAAAGTTATGCTCACAATTAGAATGCTCTCAATTAATAACTGGGCACAGTTTCTGCTCAAACTTCCCATTAAGGAATTCACCTTGAACTAAAAAATTTCAACTCAGAAGTTGAGCATATAAAAGTTTTTTTAAAAAGTGAAAATCGGGATTAGAACAGAAGTTCTCATGCAACCTTACTTAAATAATTGTCACTACCACATAATAAACAGGTGATCAACCTATTAAGTATGACATTCTCTGTGTTAATATTATACCTCTTGACCATCTATTGTTTTCGGACAGCTAGATAAGAGTTATAGCCTCATAATTGCTCATTATTTTTTAAGTATTTTTAAACTAAGGGTAATCCCTTTCAAAGTTGACTTGCTAACTAAAATCCATTTTTCCATAGTTCTACTGAAACTCATTCTTAGGCTAAGACTAACACGCAGGTCATGTGCAGTTTTATGACATTTTTGTTTCTAGTGAATCTTCATATAAATCATTTGGTTTCAACATATTTTGCATGGCATGTTGCCATCTCTTGCAATTTTATCATGTTTCTCAGAATCTATGGTGTTTTCTTAAAGCCCGAGCTTCTGAAGTTATTTATGTAGAAGTTTTATTTCAAACAAAGGAAGTTGTTACCCTTCACAATGGCAGAGAAAGCTCGAAAATGTGACCCAAGTGCATTCTATTAGCCCAGAAACCAATAGGTAACTAAAAAGAGGTCCTAACTGGGCCTTTTTTTAAACAAATAGTGTTATTTATGCTAGTTTCATTATTTCTAATGTTCAACTCATATTTTTTGAATGATTGGGGTTGGCAATACTATCATGATAACAGGAACAGCAGGATGTTATTTAGAGGCATAATAGTGTGTTAATGAATTAACATATAATGTAAATTCGATGCTGGAATGTTGAAAACAGATGGAATGCTGCCAAAAGGTTCTGGATTCTTGCATTTTACACTGAATAATTAAAAGTAAACAAATCTTTGTGATAGCCTGTAACCGTTAAGAAAAGAAAAAATGAGTGTCTAAACAAGTACAAAAAAATGCAGTTCACATGTATGAACACATTAAACTTAAGATGATGATTTGTCAATATGATTTAACTGTTCTGTACCTTAAACGTACTTAAAATCTGTAGCTTAAACATACTTACTAGAAGAGCTGCGTTACAAAGAAATTAAATGTAGTGTTGCATGTTTGCAGGCCTGATTTTTCTCTCTAATGCAACATGGCAAAGAAGTAATGTAGACTTATGAATAATCTACAGTTTTGCCACCAGATATACATGTGCAACTCCTATGCACTTTGCTGAGAGTTCCCTGCATGTATCTGAATATACTTTTGGCTATTAGAAGCTTTTTAAAAATGAAAAGTTAAATAAAAATATGAACCATGTAAATAAATAATTGAGGCTAATGAGTCATCTAAATTTTTAATTTCTTGCCCTAGACATATGTATGTAATTCCCATTGACTTTGCATATATCCAAGTGTAGTTTTGGCTATTAGATATATGGCACATAACTTAGCCCAGCTTTTTAAAAATAAGTAACTAACTACAAATATGAACTGTGCAAAATACTCAAGGCTAATAATTAAAATCAAACTGGATTTTTCAAATATATTACCAAAACAGTTTAATTTGTGATGTAATTTGAATTAGTTATTCAAAATAAAATTTTATTGACTATACTTTGGTATGAAAGTCACACATTTGCTTAGTGTCCTTTAAAACTGTTAAACAGAGCCGTTTAAGGAAAGCTTCAATATGAAATACTCTTTACATTAAAACTATATCTAAACTTTCCTTCCTAAGCAGCCTGTTAGGGTCAAGTATTAGAATCTAATTCTAAATATGGGATCTTTAAAGAAGTCTCAGGGTGTGTGGCACTCATTTCCCAATCAGCTTCAACTAGAAATGCCTACTTAACACCATTGTTCATATGCTTTGAAAACCCCAAACTGGACCACTCATCTGAATTCCAGAAGCACACACAAAAATACTTTACATTAGATCTTTTTACATGATTTGTCAAGCAGCAAAATTTCAGAAGCATTTTGTAAAGGAATTTTATGGAAGGTTGGAAGAGCATCTCTGTATAAGTAATGCATGACAGGAATCACAGACTCGGACAGGCTTTGGCGAGGACGGCAAAGGCAGCTCATTGTCAGAGCAGGCGTTACAGAAAATTTCACCACAGTTTCTACAGTGATGCTAAATAGCAGCAGAGAAACAAAAAGTTACTTTAAAGCATCCACTGAAATGCACTGTATATTTGACAATCAGCCATTATTAAAAATACATACCAAAAATGTTGGAAAGCCATCTTTAAGACCATATCAGAAACCTAATTTCAGTTTTGTAAAGATGACAGCACAAGCCATCTAAATCACCTACCCACTGTCCTCTACTAAGACGAGCTACACATTAGGTGAATAACTACTAAGATATCAAGGCAAAAACACAAACTCTAAGATCTGAATGTGTTCCTCAAGATATGAGAATGCAGCATCACATGCAGTGAAGCAGGGGTGTCAAAGATACAGCCCACAGAGCTGTATCCTCTGGCCCTGGGGTTCCAGCCCATGCGGAGCCCCACAGTCCAGGTCTGGCATGGGTGACCAATGGAATTTAACACCTCTGCTGTAAAACAACATGCAAGAAATTATTTTGCTTGCATTTGAAGAAGTCATATCTGAATTTGATTTGAAAATGAAATGATCTGTCAAGAATCAGTAGCTAACAGGATGTAACACAAAAAAAATTAAATAGTTCAGATTAATTTTTAGAAAAAGCAGGTGCACAAAAATTAATTTTCCAGCATGGGAATTAATTTTACAGTCTCTTACAATAGTGTCAGGATATGAATTCGTATTTTCTTAGTCCACTGTATAAATATGCACAGCTAACATATCCTAAATATGGCACTTACATGTTTGACTGGCTATACCAGCTCCAAAGTCAGACTTTATCTGAGACCATGAAAATTTCAAAGGTTAACAACATGCACTTCATGGACAAAACTTCGTGGCACAAGATTCTGCTCACAGAGTACCTTGTAGGATCAGGGCTTGAATATGTACTTGCACATCAAGAAAGCCAGAGAAGTTCAAATGTAAGCATCCTAGGAAGCATCCCTTAAATAACTGCATTTGATTTCTGACTGAGACTGTGCTGCACCTCTAAGGACACTAAATTTAATGTGCATTTCATGTAACTTTTAAAGAATGGGAATTGATATTTCTTTCCCAAACTTACCTTCCTTTTAGAAAGAGAAAATTCTGTTTCACATAATTTGCAATGTGTAGCTTCTTTATCTTTCAGCCAAACTTGCCCCTGGAGTTGGGAGAAAACAAGTTTTTAGATATCAATTAGAGATAAGTATACATGATACAAGCAAACTTTGTATTGCAGTGGATAAGAGTCCTCAAGATAAGCACAATTTATTATATATGTGGTTGTGCCTTGTGACCCTAATAGATATTGGTGCCACATTATGATACACACTGCCTGAACAAATTGAAAGAGAAAGAAATTGCTCCAAAAGACCTTGCACCATCTAAATTTGCAAGATAGACAAAGGGGATGAAAGAGGAAAGAAGCAGTGACTTTAAGACTGCAAAGATTGCTAGAAACCGGGCTGGGAAAAGGAGAGAGAGCTCCCAGACCCATTCCAGCAGACCAGAATAGTTATCACATCCTTTAGACAGGCAAGAAGGATAGCAGCATTAAGCGGCTTCAATTTCTTTTTGGTCAAATAAACGATGAATATGTCCTCTCTTTGCCTCAGAAGGGGACAAGTGTAATCTTTCTGACAGCATTTCACCCAAGTGGTTGTGTTATCATAATAATTATTTGTATTGTAGTAGTGCTTAGGAGCCCCAGGTCAAGGAGCAGAACTGCTATACAAAGAAAACGTTGCTCTCCACAGGGTTGCCATAAAAAAAAACCATAAAAAACAGCCTAAAAATGCCTCTCTGTGATGTTTGTAAGAAAAGTTGAGCTATCCATAAAAAGCAAAGAAACACTGAGCTCAGTTTGAGATCCCTCTTGGAATGAGGCTAGATTCAAATGTTGATGCTGGGCAGAGCAGAGTATCATTACCTGGTATTTAAGTGGGAGCACTGCTCAGAGCCCTAAAATGAACTGTCTGTCAGGGCTTTCTGGCCCAATGGAGCATCTGTAGTTCCTTCTACCCTGAGCATCTGTAGTTCCTTCTACCCTCCCACCCTGACAGGGACAAAGCTGTGGGGCTGGAGCGACAGAGGGAAGAGGTGGCAGGTGGGATCTGTGCTAGGACAGGGGGAACAGGATCAGGCTGAGGTTGCAGCATGGCTCAGGGTACAGTCAGGCAAGTCAGTAGGACCCTGGGGAAAGGAGGGCAGCATAGTGTAAAACCACTGCTGCAGTCATGCAGGGTTGCCAACCTAAAACTATTTTCTTTTTTTTCTAAAGTAAAAGCATGTCAGCAAAAAATTTGGTTGGTAGTAAAGTTTTAAAACTGTCACTAAAACAAAAAAAAAAGTTTGGGGTTGGCAACTCTGGATCTCCACCGCAAAAAGCTTCAGTGGTGGACACCCGTTATGGTTTCCCACTTCTAAAAATTAAGAAGCTCCAGGAATGTTTCACTAAGTTTATTTATAAAAATGTTTACATCACTCCTATTATAATTAAATCCATATTGATCATAGACCACAGAATAAATTTAATTATAATACAGCTTAAAACTAAATAATCTGCACAAAATTTTAATTAGATTTTTAACATGATTTTAAACTAAGAAAATGATTTCATATAACAATATACCTTTTTTGACCAAAAAAGACCTAGCATACCTTTTGGTAGCAAGTTACAAATAAAAATCAAGGGGCTATAGCAACAGTCCATACAAAATCAATCAGAAGCAACTGTACACCTGTCTCTCACTGGAAGCTAAGAACATACAAATTACAATCTGTCATATGCCCTCATTTTTGGAGAAAAATCTACTGTTGTGCATTTTAAAAGAAAAATAAAAAACAGCCTTTATATGCCCCAGATCGTACTAACCTGCAATGCTTTGTTGGCTTCTTTTATATCTTCTATTTTAAGCTTGGCTCTAAAGAGATTACAAGATTATACATACATTAGATATTTATTGGGCACAGTTAACTGCAGCACATTGTTAACACACTTTAAAGAACTGCAAACTTTAAGAACTTTAAAGGCACATTATGATTAACCTCTAGTTGCTAATTTATGTTGTGGGAAGAGTCAGAAAGCCCAATCAAGACCAAGGCCCCATTCTGCTCCACACCTTACAGACAGAATCTTTCCCCAAAGACATTGTGATCTTTTTAAATTATGGCAATATGTTTAGGATTTGTCAGGACCGGGGAAATTTGAACAAATATCACTACATCTACATGGAAGTCTCGTTGCTGACATACAACACATGTAGAAACTGAGGTCTGGAACTACAAGACTTAAATCTCACTAGTGCAGGCACTGTGTTAAACAGTTGCAGACCATCTATACAGTGAACCAATACCACTGGGTGCAGCTACACATGCCACTGATTAAGGCAATGTGACAAACTCTGGCACAGTTTGCACTGGAGTTTATCACAGCACCTTAATGACATATAGATGCTCAAACTGTTGTGGTCTAGGGCATGCGTGAAGATGCTACGCTCAGGACCATGGCAGTTTGAGCCAGTGTGGAGCAGCCTCAGACTGGCAGGGGACTCAGAGGGGTCAGTCCCAGGCTGTGGGTGCCGGCAACAGGATGGTTGAGGCACAAGGGTCGTAAAGTGCAGGAATGGGCAACCGGTAACCCCTGCACTTCTGCACCCTCTTGCCCCAGCCAGCCCCAGTCACTGTCTACATGTCTGCTTTGGTGCAGTAACTGTGCTGTAAGATAGTACTGTCCCTGACAGAACTATCTTAGGGTGCAGTTAATTACTCTTCTGCACCCTAATACTGGTGCACATGTAGATGGTGATGCTTTACTGCAGAGCTAATTAGTCAACTCTGCAGTAAGGTGCACATGTAAATACACTCAGTAGTACAAACGGGATTAAAGGCTATGAAACTACTCTGCTTGTATAACATGTAAACATATCTGCATTACTCATGGCAGAACTATTTATAAGAGAAACATCTCCTTAAAAGAGTAAACAGAAAAACTCAGAGATGGCACAAGGACAATTTGTGGCACATATACGAAAAAGGTTAGCCTCGTCTGCGTTAGGTGATGGTAAATATGCTGAGTGTGCTGGCAGAGCTGGACCTAACTAGGAACATGTGTATAGAGCAGGGGTCAGCAACGTTTTTTGGCAGAAGCACCAAAAACACCCCAAGTTTGACCCATGCCCTCAACTTGGCATGCCAGAAGCAGATGGCAGAGGAGCTGCAAGGGGCCCAATCCTCACTGCTGGCAGCAGGTTCACGTGCACCTCTAGGCAAACAGTAGGGACGGGACTGGGGTTGCACTGCCCCAGCTCCTTTCCTGCCATGTGCTCCAAGGTGGGTGTGCAACCGTTGCCATCGCACAGCCAGCGTCAGGACTCCAAACATGAGCGCAGTTATTTGCACCCTCTCTGCTGCCTGCTGCAGCTGCCCAGAGCCTGAGCTGGCTGTCGCAGGTAGCAAGGAGGCTGAAAACAGCTGTACCAAGCTCCATGACAGTGACAGCTGCACATGCACCTCAGGGCGCATGACCAGTAAGGGGCCTGGGGCAGCACAACCCCTCTCCTGCCATCTACCCCAAAGCATGTGTGCAGCTGCCACAGAGCCAGGTAGAGCCTGGTGCAGCTATTTGCATGCTGCCAGCAGACTGCTGGCCTGGGCTCTGGGCAACTGCAGCAGGCAGCTGGGACGCTGCAAACAGCTGCACCGGGGTCGGGAGCCTCAACACCGACTCTGTGGTGACAGCAGCTAAATGCATGCTTTGAGATGCATGACAGGCAAAGGGCTGGGGTTGCACTGCCCCCAGCCTTCACAGCCATATGCCCCAAAGCGCATATGCAGCCACCACCATGGAGCCTGGCCGTGGCTCCAGAGCCCAGTGCTACTGTTTGCAACCTCTTAGCTGCCTGCCACATCCAGCCTGGACTCTGGACAACAGCTGCCTGCCATGGAGCCTGGGTTGCTTGCAGCAGGGCTTGCAGCCTCCTCGCCACTTGCTGCAAGCAGTCTGGGGTCCATGGCTGGCAGCATGTGCCCAGAGCCCGGGCCAGCTGTGACATGCCAAGCAAAATGGCCTTGCGTGCCATACTCTGGCACACATGCTGCTGGTTGCTGACCCCTGGTATACAGCTTTATTCAAAACAAGTCAGATAGCAGTCTGACTTTATATATTCAAGCGGTAGTTGCACAGTTATGTTTCTTAACTGTATCTTAATTTAAAATTACAAAAATCACAAGAAAGAACAAGTTACTCGCTAAGCTTGTAGGCAAGCTCTTGGAGGGCTGCTTCTTGATCCTGACATAACTTCTTCAACTGCTGGTTTTTGTCCTGTAGTTCAAGGAATTCCTTTAAAAATTAAAAGAGTTTTTAAGAAAAAATAAAAAGGAGAAGCATCATCATACTTACGACTTAGAAAGGTGCTGTTAGAAACATACAATCCCCTACTGAATTTCAAGTCAGAAAGGATAATGGAAGGAGTGAGTCAGTATTAGTATTCAGTAATTAGTATTAACATTTTGATTTACTCTCAAAACAAAACCCATCAGGAAACCATATGATAGCATAGAGAGGAAGTGCTTATTTCTCCAAAGGTGTTTTGACTCTGTTCCTGAGCAGGCATTGTTGTGATACTACCACTATATTTTGTGCAACTCTTGAATCAACACCTTATTGCAAAAACATCCAAGGTCCACTGAAGTCAACAGGAAGACTCCTATTGATCTAAGTGGGGCTTTTTGATCAGCCCCAAATTAACAAACAAGAAATACACCAGAAAACACCTTTCTTGTAATTCTCCAAGATGTCAGAAAAGTAGAATTGGTGGGATAGTAAGGTAGAACAAAAGGACAAGAAATACGCCATTAAAGCAGACTGTTGGCTGTCAATCTTACTGCTGCATAACTTGTACATGAATCTATGACTGCAATTCATCAGGCATCATGTGATGAAGTCAGTTTGGACTCATGAAAGCTTACGCATCTCTGAGTTAGTCAATCTATAGGGTGCATCTCTACCCTGCCTTCTGCAAGTCCTGTAACATTCACATTCATCTATCTTCCTGACTGTTTTCACCTCATCTTCCTTGTAACAGATGATAAAAACCTGTAAAGTAGCCGAAAGTCTTTTTCTTGCCCTACTTAGGTGGCTCTCATCTTAACTGTTTCAGAGGGAAAGCACAATTACTTGGACTGTATGAACTGGAGGTTATCATAAGGAGTAGTAAATACACATTTTCTTTCAAATATATACAGAATTTACTATTTAATAAGGCTGGGAGACATTTTTTTTTAGTAGAACTAAACATGCAAATCCTGCTACTTAAAAATTTCCCTGCTGTTTCTCTGATTATGAAATAGCTAAGAAATCTTAATTAATTACTACAATAACCATTGAATAGTTTTCTTCTGTAGATTAGTTACAGGTGGTAATTTGAAACCAACCAATATTAATTAGCTGGCTTATTGCAGATCCCTAAAAACATTTTTAAAATGTGTATTATTCCGAACAGTACTTCTCTCATTCCATTTCAATTCCTTAAAAATTGAGCATCTCCCCTTACTGAAGACTGATTCTTCCTTTTCTAAGGCTCCTTTTCTAAAGTTCAAAGAAAGAACAAAGAAATCAAAAAGACTTGAACAACTGGAATTATCTAAAACAATTCTGAATCTGTAGCAATGGTTTGAGTTTTTTAAAGTTGTATTTACCAAAAATAAATTGTGAAAGGAGATCAGGACATATGGCAATGCTTCATATTGCTTACATTAACCATTTAACACCACAGCACAAATATTAAGGTAACTGCTCCCATCTTAGTCAATTTAAAACCAAACTCAGGCAGCTGTCTTTGCAGAAAGAGGCCACTGTGTGGAAAGCATGTCACAGTATATATAATCTGCTCAAGTTAGGAAATAACAGCCTATTAGGAACCTGTGGCTGATAGCAAGTAGTAAACACACACACACACACACACACACACACACACACACACACACACACACACAC